AAAAGTTATCCTCAGCATTGCGTTTTTACGGACTGGTCATGGTTGAACTTTAACGTCGATTTGTTGTAGAATAGAAGGACAATCGATCCTGCCATGTAGAATGTCTGCCACAAGCAGGGCCCTTGTCGTATCTCTTCGACTCCACAAAGGATCCAGGTGAATTAACTGGCACCGACTTTCGTAGCTTGGAAGGCGATGAGGATCTCTCCAAGACAATCGTCGAAGGGCAAACCAGATGACACTGTTTTGGTAATTGGGATTCCATACCGGGCAGCAGTATTCTAACACCGACCAGACGAGGGAGCAGTAAAGCGACTTCAAACAGTAGATGTCCGTGAAACTTTTAGCTATCCTGAAAATGAAGCCGAGCGTTCTGGATGCCTTGTCGATCACGTACGAGATATGCTGGCTGTATGTGAGTTGACAATCTAAGATGACTCCCAGATCCTTAATGTGATTCACACGATGTACATCAACGCCTTCTAGGATATACAGTACTTGTTCGCTTACCGGGCGATATTTAACTGGGCTGCTAAAGCAGTTATACGTCAAAAATAAACGTCACATTTAATCTGACATTTAGTTGTCATAACTTGTGAGGGGCATTCGAATAGAGTATTAAGTGATAATGTAAATAAAAATGAAATTATTTTCATTTCACACTGAAATCACGACTTACAAGCGTTATGAGCAAAAGCATTAAACCTTTCTAAACTAGCAAGATTGAATGCTGTGAAAATAACAATGACAGCTTTACCCTGTATCAATTCAATGTACATGAATTTTTATTAACGTCGATCGAACAATCCATTGAAGCTCCCCTCAGTGTTTTTTTGACGTTTGACAAGCCAGTCCAGTTAGCGAGTGGAATTCGCTAACTGGGCTGCAGTTTTAGCCCAGTTAGCGAACAAGTACTGTAACTGAATGTAATTAGATGTTTCTTCCGTGAGAACGTGATTACTGAACATTTTGTTGGATTTACAACCGTGCGGTTCAGTTGGCACCAATTAGCAAAAGCGTTGAGTTGGAGTTGGAGAAGATGGCAGTCAGCGATGGCTCGGATTCGGAAATAACGGGTGTTAAATGAAAAATGAGAACTTTTTCAGTCATATAGCTAGTAAAAAAAAAATTTTTTTCTCAACGAATTTAGTATTTTTTATTAAAAACATAATGTTTATTCTTCAAAAAAAAACGTCAATGAATATTGGAGAAGAGGCCCTGGTCAGCCGAACGTCGCAACTTAGTTGCGATGCTCTCACAAGAGCGGTGGACGGCACTGACGTCCATCTTCCGGCTACAATTCTGGATCCTCGTGGTCAACTGCTTCGTATCCTTGGCGCGGGGAGTATGTCTTTGAGAGCGGAAAGTAACTTTCGTCGTCCAGCACGAACGACGTCCCGCGTTAGTTCTTCGTCATCCACAGGCACTGCGATTTCACGGTCGCTATCGCCTCGTCCGTGTACTCGGGGGACCGAGTCTTCTTCCGACAGATGATACCCTCCATCTTGAGGCATCGGTGAATCAAGGTATGGGAGCAGTGATATTTTCGGCCGGCTTCACGAAATCTCGTTCCATCCTTGTTGTCGAACAGCTTTTTCAACGCTTCCGTCTTCTTCTTCGTCATTATCTTCGCTGGACGGCCGCTACCGGCCTTCGGCTCCACGCTCAGGGATGCCAGGATCCGGTATACTGTACTCACGGGCACGTTTTCGTCTCGAAAGTGGTCTACCGTAAACTTTTTTCCACGATTTCCATGCGTTTCGTAAAATCGTACAACACGCTCGCGGAGTGCTTGCTGTTTCGACGCCATCTTCGATTGAACTGACAGCCCCCGAGCGAAAAGAAACATGCCACCCATTTTCAGAGAGTCCAGAGAGCAATTATCTTGGAGAGAAAAAAATGTACGCTCTTTACTTTAATTACAGAAAGGTATTGAAATCATTCTCATTTTTTATTGAACACCCGTTAGATTTCCATGTCGTCTGCAAACGACAGTCGTGGACCGTCGAGGACGAAATTGACGTCGTTGAAATACACAAGAAATATCAACGGGCCGAGATGGCTAGATAGATAGGATGCGAACCATCGTAGGAGACTGCCGTTTATACCGAGCCTATCCAGTTTGGCGATCGCTATAGGATGGTTCAACTTGTCGAACTTGACATCTGTTTGCATATGGTCTGTCATACTCTCCGTAACGTACGAGGTGAGACGCAGAAGGTTGGAAGTAGTCGACCACCCTGCCGTGAAACCATGCTGGTCTTCGCTCAAATGATGCTTGAAGTGAGAGACTAATGGTTCCATAACGACCAACTCGAACAGTTTAGATATGGCACACAACGATGTGATGCCGCGATAGTTGTCGATGTTTCTTTTGCATCCCTTCTTATGCACTGGAAACATCTCAGCTAATTTCCAGCAGGAAGGAAACACCCCACTGGAGAGGGACATTTCGAACAGAAGGCAGAGATGAGCCACCAGGCTATCGATGTGTTGCTTGAGAAAGACGGAAGGAACTCCGTCAGGTCCAGACTTAAATGAAGATTGACCAGACATTGGAACATTACTGACTGCTAGAGAAACGCGCCCCCTTCAGGTAGGTTCTCATCCGAGAATACACTCGCAAACTTGGTTGAGAACAGACGGCATATGTCCTGAGAGGATGAAGCTTCTTCACCGTTCAGACCCATAGTCGATGGAAGGCCAGACTCCTTTCGTTGGTCATTCACATAATTCCAAAAAGTTTTCGGGTGAGATCAAAGCTTCTGTTGAATATCTCGTTGATAACGCCGATAACATTGGCGACTGGTTCGTTGATACTCATGATTGACCCTCGCATAATGGTCCTTGGGTTGTAGGGTGTGGTAATTGGTGTATTTTCTTAGCGCGGGTCTATTGGAAGACTTTACCATACGGAGTTCACTTGTTTGCCAAGGATGATGATTACCTTGTTTAGGAACTTTTTTCGGAACGTGTCGCTCAATGACGTAAGCCAAAATATGCGAGAGCGTTTGGGCAGCTGCATTGACATCGGCAGGGACGAGTATCCTGTGCCAGTCCAAATTCGAAAGAAGTTCCCTGATACTGTCGTGGTCAGCATTTCGGAAATCGTAGGAGACCTCTAGGGGGGAGGGTGGAATGACTCTCAGGAATTTGGTTGCCTTCAAGTACAATAACTAAAGGAGGATGGTGTGGAACAGTCTTTATCAGCGGAGAAACAGCCATAGACAAATGCGGAGCAGTATCCTGAGCGGTGACGAAGCAAAGGTCTAAGCTACGTGGTTGATTTGCTTAAGAGTGGCGATACTGTAATGATCCAAAAGGCTTACTGCTCCAGAGTGAAATGTAGAACGGTCGTGGTCCGGATACAGGAATCCACCGTAAGATGATCGCCAAGAAATTGCCGGTAGATTGAAGTCGCCAATGATTATCATCTCGTCAGCAGCTGTAGCGATCTCCATTATAGCTCGAATAGACTGACTGTGGGATTCAATTTGTGGTAGAGTCAAGAGTTTGATCTGGAGGAAAGTAAACTACACACAAAAACAAAGTGCGGTCAGCGAGCTTAATGGCAATCCAAACTTGTTCCACATAATCCCATGAATCGTTTTCGATAACTTTTGCCTTCAATCCAGAGCCGACCACTATGAGAACGCCTCCACCAGTAGATTTGCGGCTGTTGTGCGGATTCCAATCGCATCGAAAAACCTCGTATTCGGAACCAAACAATTGATTTGACAATGAAACGTCGAAGCAGCGATCTAGTAATACATGCAGATGGCCTGACTGTGACGATAAGCAGCCTGGCGGAGGCTGCATTGCGATCTAGAATTGGCAACGACATCAGGCAAGGGATGTTCCAAGACAGATCTTGAATTATACTCGCCTGATTGAGAGATTCGGAAGACCCCTCTCCGTTTCCGATCGCAGGGCCGGGCCGACTCCGATGAGCGATGTCAGCGGGGAGCGCGACGTGCATCTCAGGGTCCAAGATGAAGAAGATGGAACCGGCTTCAGGCAGCGAATGATCAATTTTGAATTTATAGTTGCCTGGTATAGCAAGTTGGAAGACCCTCGACCCACATCCAAACTCAGGGCCGGGACGGCTGAGGTGAACGTTGGCAGGAAATGGCGCGACTGAGATAGAGAAACCGGGGGCTTCCACTGTGCTATCTACGGTGCGTCCCGGTTGGAAAGTAGAACCATTCGTCAGGAGAGGGGAAGACAACGACACCACCTCCTTTTGCGCCGGGGTATCGGTGAGAATCTGGATGTGGGGGAATTCATCACGCAACGAAAAATTCGAATCGTAAAAATACTTGCGGGGGGCGATTGTGGGCTTCCATCAGGCTTTCTACGGTGCGTCTCGGATGTATATCGTCAGATGGCGTTATGCGTTGTCGGTTGTGCTGGGCGTTCCTAAAGGGACTGGTGCACCAAGAGGTGCTGGGGTCTCGAAAGGGGTACCAGTAGGAGTGCCAACGTACAGTATTTTTCGTCTGCGTGTCCTTAAATTCTCTAACCGCCATCCCCTGAGGCCAAGCTCCAGGGTTCGCCAACCTTGTACGCCAACCTTGTACGAGATGAAGTTCATCGTTCGTAGGTCGGTGCCTTTTCAACCGAAGAAACCACTTTGATTGGTTCGTTCGTTTGCAGTCCACATTAGTCGCCTTCGGAACGACAGGAATGTTCGCCAGATGTCAAAAAAGTGAGGCTAGCCCGACGGAGCAGCTCCCTATTGGTTTCATTTCTATAGCGTTTTTCCGTATAAGGAAATTTATTCAAAGAATATTCGACAGTAAATGTCGCAAAATCTTTTAATTTTGATCATTGGGTGCATTTGCGATTTACTGGCAGAGACAGGGTGCTTTTGCAATTTTTCAGATCCTGTAAATGGTCTAATGGCGAATTCTAATAAGAAATTCCATATTCTTCTCGTAATTCTAGATTCCAATTTACACATTTGAATTAATCATAAACCTTCTTTTTCCCTCTTCCAGATCATCTCCGACTACTGCAAGAACCACCACCTGTACAAGCCCTTCTCGCACATGGTGCTTGACCTCTTCAAGGAAGTTGTCGCGTCCGTTTCGACGCGCATCGAAGTGAAGCAACCCAAGCAGATGACCGAATGCTACGAGGAGCACAAGTATGACTGCTAACCCGTTTAATCCCATGTCCTTCAAAATACACTCAATTGGTAAAATTCCCCCCGTTTCAGAAGCGACACCGATTCCGGTCGCAGCTCCGATCATGGCGAATTGGAAGTGCATCGCAAGCTTGACAACTTCCAGCAGCCAGCACCCCCACCAGCACCCTCGGAAATCAACTACGGCATCACCATCAGCGGGCACGACCTGGAACAGGCCCGATACTTTGGATCCACCGCAAACCTTCGGGTGAAGCGAGCCGAACCGGACGAGAACAGGTTCCGATCGCTACCGAGACCGTCGGACTCGACCAAGCTGGAACCGGTTCGAAACTACGCCACTATTGGATACTCCAAGAGCATTCGCGCAGGGGTCGGAACGGAAGGAGATCCCAAGAAGCTACACGTCGTTCGACGGCGGCACAATGCGGAAATGTTGCGGAAGAGGAACGACGCCCGGAGAAATACGATCGATGTAACCATGGTGGAAGTCAAGATGGCGGAGGTCCAGTTGCAGCAGCAACAACAACAACAGCTGGGAACGCTTGGTCGGTTGCAGCGGAGTCAGACCCGGCTGGTTCCGTCCAAGTCGACGACGCAGCTGAATCTGATCGACGGGGGAAACGACTTTCAACGAAAGATTGACGAGATGAGCTTCAACGCTACGTCGATGCCAAGTACGTGTCGTCACTAGTATTGGTAGCTCTGTGTCAGATGCTAATCTTCTGTTTATTTTTACAGATCTCGGAGCCCCACTGGTATCGGTGCAGCAGACAAATCCCCTGTTCGCTGAAAGACGAAAGGAAGATTTCTCCCTCGGTCGATCCAACACTCGGGTGGACTCGCTCGAGGAAGCCGGGAGGGTTGCCTCTGAAGTCAGTCATGGACCGGAATTCGTCCGGAATGCTTTTACACCACCAAAGGTCATCGATCTAACGGATTCCAAGGTAGAATTTTGTTTATCTTAATGGATTCATGATAGCATTTATAAAATGTTCCGTACTTTCACAGACTCAACACCGTCGAACGGTAACGATCCTGCTGCTGAACGGAACCAAAGTGAACGTCATCTGCAATCCCACGACCACCGTGGCTAAACAAGTCTTTGAGGCTATCCTGAGGCTGGAGAAGCTGTCCGAAAACTTCTTCCTCGGGCTGTGCGCTCTAATCGGAGGGGATTTCGTTTTCCTTCCGAATGATCTCAAAATCTACAAGGTATGCTTGTTCCGTTGGAAAACTCCAATCGATTTTTCATTGTACAAACCATTCCAATCAAACAGGTTGCACCGCAAATTTGGGTCAACACATCGAAAAAATCCGCAACACTGGGCGAAAACGTTGTTTTCACCCTCTATCTGAGGCTAAAGTTCTTCCTGCCCACGCTACGAGGCGTTAGGTAAATATCTAAAGCTCTCCCAACCGAATCGAAGCTTTTATCCAGTTTTTCCGCCCACAGCTGCTCGGAATCGCGCCATCTACTATATCTGCAGCTGCGCAAAAGCATCCTGGAGCGGCAGATTCTCTGCTCCGAAGACGATCTGATTGCATTGGGAGGGCTCGCTCTCCAGGTGGAAGTCGGAAGCTTCAAGGAGAATGTAAGTCGATTTTTTTTTTCGCTGAAATATTTCAATGCAAATTAAAATTCAATCGAATTCCAGATGAAATACACGGAGTACTTTACGATATCGCACTATCTCCCGGAGGAGGTCTACCGGAAGAAGAAGGAACTGGCCAAGTACCTGCGGAGTTCGCACTTTTGTAAGCGCGGGCTGCACCAGCTGGAGGCAGAGCACAACTTTATCCGTTACGTGCAGGAGCTGAAGGAGTACGGGCTGCATCTGTACAGTGCCACGTGGACGACCGAGGAGAACATGACGCTGGAGGTGTACGTGGCGATATCGTTGAGTGGGGTGGCAATTTTCGAGAGGAATCTCAAGTTTAATCCGAAGGGAGCGCAGCAGGAGTTCAACAACGGGAAGAATTCCTACCAGCGGCATCTGTATGCGTTCTTCGATTGGTTGGAGATTGAGAACATTTGCTTCTCAAAGCACGTGTTCTGTGTGGTGGTCAGGAGGACGGAGAGCTTGAACCCCAAGGACAAGAGCCGGGTCAAGTATAAGCTGAGGATGGACGGAAGGAAGTGAGTAGGGGTTTGTTCGTTCTTGGCTGGGTTTCTTCTATTAGTTTCTAATGATATACAGTCAACTTTACTTTGATCGATATTCTCTAACTGGATCTTATGGAATTAATCATCAATGAAACTTGAAGTTTTCATGATTAGCTTGCCTAATTTAAAAATTAATATAATAAATGTTTCATTCTTACATGCACGCGCTTGTTGAACATTTATCACGTTTATTTTGCCGCGCAACAAATCAAACATCTATGTGGACGTAGCATAATTTCTCAATGTTTGCATCAGCTGTCTTAGATTGGCAGATAATCAAGCCAAAGAACCAACAACTTTGGCTTCAAGCCAAATGTTTGTGGATGACGTTTCTGCCACCGGAGTGGATAATTCCTGCAATATAGAATTTATAGCTGTATGTTATAAACTGTCATTTTAATGTTAAGGTCTTTTGGATATAACCTAAGAGGAAGAGAAGACAATAGGGGGACTTTTATGAACCAATTTACTGTCAAACGCGAACCAGCTCCTGATTGGTCGGGTGACCGTATAGAAACGCGAAAATTTTTACAACAGGGAATCTATTTTCTTCAAGGGGGCAACACTGTTGATCGCTGAAATTTTTCTAATCGATTTACTGGTTTACTGGTGTAACAGTGATTAATCCTAGAATTATAAAAGTTTATTGAGATGTACCAAGTTTGGTGCTGTTTTTAATATGGAAGATGCATGGGATGAGGTAAGTATTGTCAAAAGTTCTTCTCGATTGCAACACTATTAAATAGAATATAAAAACTCAACTTTTAGGCGTACTTTTGGAAGCAGTTGGAGCTGGAGTATTGCCAAATAAATCTCCACATCAAGCATATTAAGAACACAAACATTGAGGTCTGAATAAGACAGAGCTCTATATTGGAGAAACCGGGAGGGCGCCCATCAGGCAGAGATGTCCCAGCAGCCGAAAGGAACTAAACTTTAAAATACAATGCAGCATTCTTTAAAAAGCGCATTACTGCTGCCAGCAGGGATCTGCATTTTCGAAACAAAAAAAAAAAAAAGAAAATGAACTCTCCGCAGAATTGTTTCATTTCGAGCAATATCATTTTCGTGTAAGTCATCGTGTTTCTTGTGATCGACTCACGATGAACATTCCTCTTTTCAAACATGACTGGACTATCATTTGTTTCGTTCGTCGAGTGCTTCAGTTCATTTCATTTGAAGCAAAGACTTGTTTCAATTGACGCAATGAAAGACTCGAAAACTGCTTTCTTCGTTTTTTTCCACCTTCACTTCAATTTGGGGCTCATTCGACTTGTCACGACCTGACGACGCAGGCATCAAAATATAGTATCTTAAATTTCATCGATTTCCGATTTCCTTATACAAGACCCCGATTCCAAAAATACCCATATTGATGGGACGGCATCAGCATTTCCCATTTTTTTTTTCTGAAATAGGAAGCCACCATATTGGATTTTAAAATGGCGTCCGATATCGATTTCCTGCCTCTAAACACCATCCCGATTCCAAAAATACCTATATTGACAGTATTTCTCACTAAATCTAAAATCGGAAGCCGCCATCATGGATTTCGAAATGGCGTCGCATATAAATTTTCGATATGTAGATTTCGGGCCTTATTACGGGTGTCACTACACGGTGATAAGCAAGTGATACTCAGAATAAGAGCCGTGATTACCGTACAAATCAAGTGGGAATCACTTCACCGTGACGACAAGTGACAACTTTTCACCGTGAAGTGACATCCGTAATAAGCCTCTTCATACCGATTACAAAAATACTAATATTGATGTTTGATACATTTGATACAGTCTGATGTATTTCCACTTTTTCGTAAATCGGACGCCACCTTCTCCGATTTGAAAATGGTGTCGGATATCTATTTTCATCCTCTAGACATCATCCCGATTCCAAAATATCTTTATTGATAAGTATTTGACAGCATTTCCCACTTTTTTCTTAAAGTGGAAGCTGCCATCTTGGATTTTAAAATGGCGTCGCATATCAATTTTCGATCTGTAAACGTCACCCCGATTCAAAAAATACTCATATTGATTGGTAAACAAACCACCCGACAGTAATAAATTTGACATTAACGTGCACAGATCTATGCGCATACGCTTACATGAACCGAGTGAACAATCAACAAAAGTCATAAAAACTGCGCGAATTTGGATCGAACAGCTTCGCTTCAATGAAAAAGTAAGTTCATTTGACGATGAAAAAAATGAACACGAGTCAAGCCAAAACAAACAGCATGAAAACTGATCGAAACTGGTTCTGTTGATGTTGACGGAGATCTGCTCGAAGAGAAGACAGAATGACTTGAAAGTTGATGGTTGACAGCTTCATCGTCGCTTGAAGATTTTCGATTGAAAGTGACTTTGTGGGGCCCATGTGGCCCCATGTCGAGTATGCTATTTGGTAGCCTGTGGAGTTCCCGCAAGGGGTTCTACAACCGACGCGAGTCCTGTGGAACGGCGTTCCACCGAAATTGTGCGAGATCTTGCTGTGACCGGTCCTCAAACGCGACGCTATCTTCTGATCCCACTGATTCAACGGTTTTGTCCATTTCCTCGTCGTCCCCTTGATCCGTCTGATGAAGATGGACCGGTTTTGGACCCACTCTGCGTCCCAAGCTTCCCAGAATTTGTTCACGATCCAGCGATGGGCAGATAGTCCTGCCCAAGCCAGAAAGTCAGCTTCAGAGTTGCCTGGTATCCCGCAGTGCCCCGGAACCCAGCAGAATACCGTGTTTGGAGGTGCAGACTTCATCTTCGCCTTTATCCAGGGATGAGTTAGGGCCTCAGATTTCAAGGATTGTTTGACGCGGTGCAAATCCGTGAGGACCAGGATCGGTCGGCCCGAGGGCGTTGTAGCAGCGATAAAGGTGGCAGCAGTTTCAGTAGAGAAGACTGAACATTGCGGTGGTAAGCTGCAGCTGGTTGGTGTAATGTTTTCGGCAAGACCGATACCGACTCCGGCCCTTTGCAAATGAAGTTTAAAGGAGATATTAATATCATAAACTATAATAATTATAATCTACAGATCGATGAAAATCTTGTCCACTCACATCTGTTCCTTAACTATGCCCTGAAGAAAAAAAACCCTAGAGGCATCATGGTTTTGGGTAACGTTTACATCATTGCTTCAACTGGAGAACTAACCTTATCAAATGATATTCATCGACAAACAAACATTTGTGCTTACATTTCACTTATGGAGTCGTCGAAAAAAGATTTATTTTCGTCAAACAACGCCCTAGTCAATTTGCAAACAATATTTATAGAAGATAATTCTTAAGCACAGCTTCTAATGTAACTGTTTCTTGTTCAGAAATATATTTCAATAGCAAAAACACCATCATCATCATCAGCATTATCAACATGATCGATAATAACCCAACAACTTTTAAAATTAGGGAGCAAATTAAGGAAAAAATAACATTCGTTTCCGATTTTAAATGAACCATCGATGAGACCTTGAAGTTGTAAACAAACAATCTCAAAAGTCATAACTGCAGGGTTTCCAAACTCAGGGGGTACTGAGACCGACAGCTTGATTGCCACAATGCAGCACGCTCGGCGCAACACTGAGCACAGCTGTCGGCACAGATAAAGTACTAGGCACAGATTGAGATGTGCAGAGTTGAGTATCCCTTGATTTTCTTGTACTTTGACAGTCGACTGCGTCGCCCATAATGAAATAGTTTTTGCACGGTCGTTTCCGCGAGAGAAGAAGAACACGTTACAGACAAAAAGAAGCCAGTTGTCTCCTCATCCTCTTAGGGTATAACCACCGGAACACAGGAATTGCGGGCAAAAGCATTATACCAACCGGTAGAAACTAACGATTTTAAATTGGCTCACTACTTGACTAGCCTATTGGTCCCAAGCAAACGATTAACGTACCCCATTCTAGTCGAAATTCTAGTACTACGCAATGTTTGTTTTGATACGCTATAAAAGTTTGACCGATAACATGAGGAGTTCGTGGATTTTCCTATGTTTCGAAGGGTGCATCGATTAGCTTGGGACCGAAGATAGTACCAGAGCAGAGTCAAAAAGTTGAGCTCGTTTCTTCGGGACCTTCTGGTTTTAGAGTTACCTCTATGATTATACTGCATATAATCGCATAAAAGTCCCTAATGGATTTTCTTAAAATTTGACATAACAATACTGTCCACTGTCAATTCACATCCATTCACAATCTTAATTCTAGATGCTCAAAAAATCTCACACTAGCGAATCAATCTTCGAAAAATCTACAATCATTTCTCGCATCTACTTGCATCGCGCATCATCTTTTTGCAGGAAATCTTCAGAATCGTCATTAATCTTCTTTCTATCTACGCAGCGTGCGTGGAGCTAGCCAGAGTCGTCCCCCTCGATTCACATCTACTTTCATATAGACAAAAAGTGACACAGCAGTGGGGCCCTGTTTACTAAAAATGACATGAATAATACTCATGTATAATATGAATAAAACACATGAATAATACTCGCGTATTATTTGAAACGGGCCTATCAACTATTGTACGCAAAACTTGTTATAGTACGTTCAGACTACAGAGTTATAACATGTTATAGCGCTATATTGATGGTGGTTTCTATGTTGCAATTATTTGACAACCGTTAAAACATGTTATAACTTTCCAGTCTGTACAGCGTTTTAAGCCCTTTTCGCGTGAACCAAATACGCGTACGCATACTAACAACACCATCGGGATCGTAAAATCCTCCCCTTCCCGATAGTGCTCTTGGTTTGCGTGGGCATACTTCGGTTCTCATGAAAAGAGCCTAGAAAGTTGTTTACAAAAGTTGATAGGCCCTTTTCAAATGTTACGCGAGCATCATTCATATGTTTACTTTTAGTAAACAGGGCCCCGTTGTTGTGTAAATTTGTTTCAGTAGATGAACAAAAGTTCACCCGTGCACTCGTCTATAGACAACTGCACCGATGGATTTGAGTTCATGGATGGAAATTTGACA